GGTCGCGGGCATCATTCATCCTCCTGGGGGCGAAGCTCTCCAGGTGCTTTTAATCTCGGTGCACTTGTATTGCTCCGAGGGCCTCACCAATCGCAACTTGGATATCTTGAGCGCAGTCCGCAGCCTCCAGGACACCCATGCGTCTGGAATGTTGGTGATTTCAATATGAGCCTTGAAAAAATCCTGGGCAGCTGTTTTCCTGAACATGTACCGGGGCAGATCATCTCTCCGTCATGTGACGGCACCTGCCCCACCACGGGCGGGGTGAAGTTAATCGTTCTTTTCGTGGCCTCGAAGGGCCTCGCCAAGGCTGTCAAGGATGTCTCGGTCCAAAGAGGTTCGAACATCACGCCGCATTTGCCTGTCCAGCTCGAGCTGCATGGGCGCGCGGCTTCCCAGCAGGCTTTGGTGCTCGACCCCACCCCCCCCCCCCCTCATCCCTTCTGAGCGCCCCGTGGGGCCCCCGGCCCCGCCCCCCCCCCCCTGCCCCTCCTGGAAACGCGCTCTCGGGACAGGGGGCGATTCCTGAGCGAGCTGGTTCCTGGGGCCTCGCCCGTGGGATTCCAGGAAAAGTTGTCTCGCCTCTACCGCCTCTGGGGGAAGTTAGCTGAGTATGAGGCGGCCGAGGTTGCTCATTCTAAGTTGCCTAGGTGCGGAGCGCGTGGGCGCAAGCCCAAGCTGAAATGGGCCTCTGTGTTTCGTGATCCCCTCTAGGGATGCAAGCACCCTGGACACTTCGGGATCAAATGGCTGACGAGCACCTTCAGACAGTGGAGAAGCACCAAGTTTGGTTCTCCAGAGGCCCATCAACGCGCTCGTTTAATTGGAGACCCTCCAGGGGACCTGGTCAAATTTCTGGGCCCGCACTCTGAGCTGTTTCTCAGGTGTCAACAGAGGGTTGGCACCTCTCGTCCCCACAGTTTGCCGCACACAGCTACCGACAATAATGTCAGGAACGGCGCGATTGTCAGAGTCGACGCCATGTTTAGGCGGGACACGCCCTGCGCCGTCGGCTACGACGACCCCCGCACCACGGAGGTTGACGAGGCCGACGAGGCCCTCGATTCCGATTTGCTCACTGACTTGGTTCAGGCGCTGGAGGCGAAGCAGAATCGTGCCAGGAGCCATGCTTCTAGATCCTGGAAGGAGTGGCTGTTAACGAACATCGAAAAAAAGGATTGCAACGCGCATCTGGCCAGAACGCCCGTGGCGGGGGCTGGAAGGCGCCCACCGCCGTGTCTGCGGCTGGGATCGTGATTTCGGACCCCCTGGCCCTCCTCAAAAACCAAGCGTCGCTGTTTTCTAAAATTTGGGAGGCCGAACCCAGGCCTGACGCGCGTGACCACCCGACGGTGTTGGAGCCCCTCCCGCCGCTCGAAGTTGATTTCTTGAGAGAGGTCCCT